ACTGTTTAACTCTAGAGGAGCTGGAAAATGAGCCTATTTTCAAAAATAGTGGAGTGTTCCTTTAAGGGCATGCAAGCCATCACCAGACATATAGATTTATATATAATGCAAAAATATAATGCAATTTTTTCCCATTAGAACTTATAATATAAAAGATAAATGTTAAAGTGTCAGCTGCTGCTATACAGAATTTTTACCCACTTTCAGTGAAAAGCAAGTATTGTTTAACTGCTGTGTGCATATGTTGCAATTCTGCTACGCTCGGTCTCTGAGGTTTAGTTATATTACTACTTATATGTTTCTGCAAAACCTGCGTTGGACTTTCTCTTCTGAAAACGTACGATCGCTCTGCTTTAAATTGCAATTCAGTAAATTCCTCTCCTGCCATTCCCAGTTCAGCATCCTGTTAACTCAAACTGTAACGCATAAATCAAAAGGGAGTTTGTAGAGCCCAACCCTGATTCTCCTGACCACTGACTTCAGCTGGAGATCCTAAACGTACATTTTCTGGCCAGGCTCATGTGAGCTTCCAGCTGTTTGATGGTGTCCAGCAGCTCGGCTCTCGCTCCTCCTTTCTGCAGCGTGTAACCCAGCAGTGTGCAGGCGTACTGGGCAGCCCTGCTCAAACACAATCAATCAATGAAAACCAGCAGTCACATTACACGGCTCCAATAAGCATCAGAACACTTACACAGCCGTTCAACAGTTTGGGATCAGCACGATTTATAATGTTTTATAAAGAAGTCTCTTCTGCTCATCAAGGCAATGTTACTTGATCAGAAATACAGAAAAAGCTGTAATATTGTTGCATCAACCCACAAAAACACACTATAGCAAGTGACATCAGCAGCACTCAAACGCCTGGTTACTTAAACACATGCTGGTTCTCTCCCAGTAAACCTTGCTTTAATAACCAGAGCATCCCTTATAATAGGAGTACACATAGTGAAGTATTTATGATGTTAATTTTGGCATGGTACTGACTGGGTTTCATACCCATAAACAATATTCACATGGTACTCAGAGGCACTTTAATAAATACTAACTATGGCCTAAAACGTGATTGATACTGTTCTTAATACTACTAATTGTAAAGTAGCTGAAAACAAAAACGGTATCAATGAGCACAACTTCCAGTGCAGCACTCCCGAGTCTCTAAACAGGCTGCAAACCTCATGCTGTCACGGAAACTAACTAGTGAGCATGCACTGCACTGAGTGAGTGAGTGAGTGTTTGTGTACCTGAACACGCGCTCTTTGGCTTGACTCCGCGCGCTGAATCTCACCCACGACTCCATCACCACACACTCTCCGGGCCTGTGCGTCCTTTACGCGCCTCTTCGCTCAGACACACGTTACACAAGCTCACCGGGAAGGTCCTTTGTGTTGTCAGAGAATACGCACTTCTGTCTGTAGTCTGGTGCTGGAATTATGCGGCATACTTGCTCTGTTGCACTTAATGTTTTTGTCGCTTTGACGCTTTAATCCGCGTACGGCAGCCGAAGAGGGACACGCACTCGTGTTCGCGTTTGAATAAACTGAAATCGCGTTATAAAATGGTCCTTGTGTAACAGCGAGTCACGTTTTGACTGATGGGTTTCATTTGTAATGAGAATGCACAAAAATAACCGAATATCGCCGGTTTGTTTTGTAAGAGACTGTATAACTTTAAAATGCCCTCGTTTGCAAGTCGCTTTGGACAAAAGCGTCTGATAAATGACTAAATAAATCAATAAAAATGTAACGACAACCAAAGTGCAATGAACTTACTGATGGTTTCTGGCGACTAACAATAAAAACAACCACCAGGGGTCGCCAAAAAAATTAAAAGGTATACATTTGATATGACTGCTATATTTAATATTACTGATAATAACCCCAGCTACAATAAATGATCAGGCTGATAATAATAAAAAAACCAGACTGTTATAGATTGGTAAAGTGGATTTTATTTGAGAATCTCTGATGACAATAAATAAAGGAAAATATAGTAAACCCATTCTGCTTCTAATAATCACAAGAAAAACAATGCCATGAATTTGCATGAAACGAACAGACATACTATTCCAAGTTGATGCCTAGTAAGTGCACAGCATGTGTGTGATGTGTATTTCCTCTCTTACACATGCTGTACACATGCCTAGTAAGTGCACAGCATGTGTAAGAGAGGAAATCCCCATCACACGCCACATTACGGTCTTTCACTTCCCACACACCCACTACAGAAGCCACTGGAATAAAAATGACCCTGTGGAAAAAGGAAACTATTTTGTTTTCCATCATAATCAAGTTGGTCAGTCTGTTAATGTGCTTAAAGGTGGACCCGAATATTGCTCAGCAAGATTTTAAAAAACTAATAATCATTCATACAGTGTATTTTCCATCAAACACATCCTAGGTGATTGACTCTCACTTGTCCCAAATCATACTTCAAAAATGTCAAAATATTATCAATTCAATTATAAAACAAATTCTATTTTGATTTAAGAAGAGTGCATTTTTAGGAGCATAGTTTTGCATTATTTTCATGACAATAAAGCAACCCCACTGTTAAATTTGCATTACCATAAAAAACTCTCATTACTGATTAATGAAAAACATATATTATTTAAATGGTAGAAATATTACTGTATTACAGTTACGATGATCTAATGAAAAGTCGTGACATTCCACTATTTTTAAGAGAATTTGAGGGGAAAATGTGCTTCCAGTTATAATGAAAATATTTTGCAATGCATCCCATCTTATTAATTATTTATTTAAAAATATATATATATTAAAAAAATGGGTGGAATGTGACCTGGACATGTTATTCACCCAGTTTTTGAGAAGAAGCTAAAGCAACTACAGCAAATGTTTTTTCAAATGTGTCTAACAAATTGGTTTACAGTACTCATTATACCGGCAGATTAATATTTCTACCATAAACCCTTGCCTATTTACCCACCCTGCAACACGTTGCTTTCTTTTCTTTCTCTCCACTCTGCACCCCATGCTGTCTGCTCTCTTAAACTCATTCGACCTTCGTTTTTTTCCAACAAGCAAACCTCTGACCCGTGTCTGACGTGACCTTTTCACAAAACACAAGTAGCTCATCCTTCTTACATTCCCATCCATTAAAATATGATGTCCCCCCGACATTCACCTTCACAAAGTATAATGCTGTCCAAAAATGAAACATAATAACTACTGTCAAGTTTAATATTTCTTTCATAATCTCTAACATCAGTAAATCAGCCCACGTCCCAAATGACGACAGTGAGTGTGTCCTGCACAGTGAGGGAACTTCGGTCTAACTGAAATGATTGGGAGTGCATCATTGCAAACAATCAGACAGAAACTATAAATGCAGTTCTCAAACCATCTGAGGGAGATGGGACTAACACAGCTGCAGGTGAGAAGGCCACGGTATCCCAACATGCCCTTCTTCTCAGTGCTCGGACTGCTGTTTCTTATGGAAGGGGGCTTTAAGGCGGCTCCAGAAGGAATGGCTGCGCCGGGTTTTCCTCTCGCCGCCCCGCACCACCTCAGCCTCGTGCTGGCGGATCTGACGCACCAGTGCAGCAAACACATCGTCGATGTAATAGCGGAACGCCGCGGAGGTCTCAAAAAACGGGCACTGGAACTCCCTCGCCAGCTGTTTGCCCTCCTCCACAGACACCTGAATGGGTGAAGACGAAACAAACAGCCCATCAGTCTAAGCTGCTTCATTTCGCTTGTCCCTAGTACGTCTCCAACATTAGATAATGATTAGACGTGCACAAATAGTGGGTCATTTATTTGCACATTCTAATATGCTGATTTGCTGCTCAGCAAACTTTTCTGATTATTATCAATGCTGAAAACAGTTGCTCAATAGTTTTTGTGAGAACCATTGTAGAAAGAAATATTCTGCAACCTTATAAATGTCTGTCACTTTTGATCAAATTAATGCATCATTGCAAATGAATGCAATGAATGCATCAATAATTATAGCCTTTTGATGGACCCAAATTACTAATAAATGTAGTAACTAACAGCATCACGGTAACACACTACAGTAAGGTTTAATTCGTTAAAGGGGTCATATGATGCGATTTCAAGTTTTCCTTTCTCTTTGGAGTGTTACAAGCTCTTGGTGCATAAAGAAGATCTGTAAAGTTGCAAAGACTAAAGTCTCAAATCCAAAGAGATATTCTTTATAAAAGTTAAGAGTCAGCCACGCCTACCTAAAACGTCTCGTTCTAACACGCCCCCACATATCTACCTCACTATGTGGGAAGATTTGCATAACGCTGCCCAAATGTTCACGCAAAGAAAGAAGGCGTAACTTTTATTCTCGCTGTAGTATTGTTGCCGCCGCCGCCATGTCGTGAAGGCGCTGTGAATGCGGATCTGTGTTTTATAGGCATCCTCTAAGAACAGAAAAACACACGCATGAAGGTTGATGAGAGATCGCAACAACATTAAACAGCTTAACAGACAAAAAAAAAACTTAAATGGGAAGGGACATCTGTGTTACATTTAGGGGTATATTTAGTAAAGACACAGAAGATGCACTACTATTCAAAGGCTTTTTTTAAGCACACATTAAATTAATCAAAAGCAATGACAATAAAGACATTGTATAGTGAAGACATTTATATTCTTGCAAATTCTATTTCAAATAAATGCTGATCTTTCTGTTCATCAAAGAATCTTGAAAAGGAAACTCCAGGTATCCACAAAAATATGAAGCAGCACAACTGTTTTCAACATTGATAATATTAAGAAATCTTTCTTTAGGAGCAAATCAGCATGTTAGAATGATTTCTGAAGGATCTTGTGACACTGAAGACTGGAGTAATAATGCTGGAAATTCAGCTTTGCATCACAGGAATAAAATACATTTGAAAATAGATTACAATAGAAAACAGTTATTTTAAATTTCACAATATTACAGTTTTTAATACTGTACAGACACAGACAGACACAACACCTGACAGTCTCAAGAAAAATCTATGAAAATAGATTAAAGAAAGAAAATAAGCATGGCATGTAAAACTAAACCAATTTACAAAATATATGTTTACATAAAGACAAATTATAAGATAATATTATTAGATAATTATTAGATAGCATTATTAGATAATATTATTATATTAGATAAATTATACAAATTATAAGACATCAACTTAAAAGTGTAATTTCTGTGCTACTACCAAAAAAAATCGCTGTTTTCAAACAGGTTGCACATTAAAGGAACAGTTCATCCAAAAATGAAAATTTGCTGAAAATGTGCTCACCCTCAGGTCGTCCAAGATGTAGATGAGTTTGTTTCTTCATCTGAACAGATTTGGAGAAATGTAGCATTGCATCACTTGCTCACCAGTGGATGCTCTGCAGTGAATGGGTGCCGTCAGAATGAGAGTCCAAACAGCTGATAAAAACATCACAATAATCCACACCACTCCAGTCCATCAGTTACAGTCTTGTGAGGAGAAAAGCTGCGTGTTTGTAAGAAACAAATCCATCATTGAGACGTTTTTATGTTAAACCTTTGCTTCTGCCCAAAATATGAGTCCATAATCCATAATAATGCTTCCTCCAGTGAAAAAAGTCCTGTTATACTCTCACAATCAAAATCCACTGACATATTTGTTTAGAACGGTTTTGTATTGTTTTCACTTGTAAACGGTGCTTGATCTGTGCTTATTTCTCCCCTGATGTAGACAAGATCACTGGAGAAAGAAATATTATGGATAGAGGACTTGTATTTTAGCCGGAATTTAAAAACAGTTAAAAGCGACATAATAATGGATTTGTTTCTTACAAACATGACGCTTTTCACTTTACAAGACGTTAACTGATGGACTGGACTGGTGTGGATTACTTGTGGATTATTGTGATGTTTTTGGACTCTCATTCTGACGGCACCCATCCACTGCTGAGCAAGTGATGTAATGCTACATTTCTCCAAATCTGTTCCCATGAAGAAACAAACTCATCTACATCTTGGGTGTCCTGAGGGTGACTAGATTTCAGTAAATTTTCATTTTTGGACAGACTGTTCTTTTAAACTTGGATAGGAAAAAGAATTAGACTGAAATTCATAACTGAAAGGAATAATTTCCTTACCGATAGTAGGGTCATGATCCTCTGGAAATCTGTGACTTATAAACTGCATGATGATGGCTACGAGACAAAGAGAATAAGACAAGCAGAGTTCTTACATAATTGTGGTACCATGAAATTCAATGAGAAGAGTGTAAACATCTCCCCCTTCTCCCTCATGTGGAGTAAACACACCCTGCTGTCAGCATGCATTTGCTCTGTATGTGCTCTCTGCTCTGTTCCCATGGAGACGGTGATATAAAGAGAGAATATCAGTCACCCTAAAGAACCTTCTGCAGTGCACTCGAACAATGAGATCCTCACCAGGTGATCTCCGCTCATCTCCTAGGCAACAGACTCCTGGAGGGGAAGGAAGTTGCTAGGCACCTGCGCCTTCATAACGACCAGACTGAAGCACTGAGCCAACACCCACACTTTTATTGTCTGCCTGCCTGTGACTGTACGTCTAAGGCTGTGAAACCA